TTGTTTATAACTCAAGCATTGCAGCATTTAATATCTGAAAGTGAAACTGACGACATTAATTTTCATTCTCCGAACTGGGAGATGCAAATTATGGAAAACAGCATAAAGAAAGAAAGGTAAATTGGGTTTTTAATGTTTCTTTATTTCTACTAATTGAAGGTAGTGGTTGTAAAACAGACACATAAATTGATTAAAATATCTTAAAGTTGGTGTGTCTGGCCAGAAGTGGTTTAAATTTTAGTTTTAACTATTTGATGCGCATTGGGATCAAACAAACAAAAAAGGCTTTTCAAAGCCACACAATGGGTCAATTTCTGAGCTGCACCTTTCAGGAAGTGCATCTCTGGATGATGTGGAGTGTTGCTACTGGTGGCTTTGCCATCTGTCCTGCCTCAGTTTAAGTAAGAGCACTTCTGCCTCATCTCCTACAACTCCAGAATGCCACTGCTGTTTTCTATGGGGCCAGTAACTGTGGAGCCTGCTGTAAAATGGCAACACAAAAACCTCATGACTACCAAGTCTATAAGGAAAGTATTAAACATAGAAAAATTGCAAAAGCTAACAAAAGGAAAGTAAAATGTTTAATGTTCCTAGTTTCTCTCAAGTTATATGAAAAGGCAGTTATTTGCCACTTCACAAATATGAGAGATCTTTATAGTTCTTTTCTTCAAATGTAGTTAGTGTAGTATGTTATCCAAAATACAGAGTATGCAGTATGTTATGGAAACACTGCCAGTGATTCCATTACTGAGCTGGGTTTTGTAATTAAAGCAGGGACTTACCCACTTTATGTATGAGGAATACTCCATATCCTCCCCAAAATTACAACATTTTCTCTTGAATACAGAATGAATTGAGAATTTTCAACTAAATTGACTTAATTACTTTGTTACAACTAATTAAGAAGTCTTTTTTCCCCAAAAATGATCTTAATACTGGAATAACAGATACTTTGAACTACTCTTATAGTTAACTCACTGAAATCTTCTGTATAAGCTACATTTCATGACTTTTTGTAGGATTAATGGTAACTTTTTCCCCCATTTTACTTCTTAAACTGGGAATAAGAATACAGTAACTCCTCACTTAGTCATATCAGTTAATGTTGTTTCGTTGTTACATTGCTGATCAATTAGAGAACATGCTCGTTTAAAGTTGTGCAGTGTTCCCTTATAACGTCTTTTGGCAGCCGCCTGTTTTGTCCACTGCTTGCAGGAAGAGTTGCCTGGTGGGGGCAGCTGGTGGAGGCTTGGAACTAGGGTGGACTGGCTGCCCCCCTATCAGCTCCCTGTTCCCCTAAATTCCCTGTGCGGCAGCTGCCCAGCAGGCTATCAATTGGCGGCAGTTCAGCTGTCCCTCCCCCCACTGTCATGTGCTACTCCTGCCCTCTGCCTTGGAGCTGCTCCCCAGAGCCTCCTGCTTGCTGTGCGGGGGGGTGGGGAGGAGGAGAGAAGAAGGGGGCTAATGTCAGGGTGTCCCCCTCCCCGTGCTCCTGCACCCTGCTTACCCCATTTCCATAGAGCAGGGTGGGGACACAACAGGGCTCAGGACAGAGGGAGCTTGCTGGCAGGAGCCACTGTCTCAAGTTGCTCTATTTAAAAAGGCAATGTACTTAGAGTGGGGTCAGCGTACTTAAAGGGGCAATGTGCATGCATCTCTCTCTCTGTCTCCCTCTGCCATGCTTTCTCCCCTCCCTCCATTTGTGCTGCCTGGTAGAGTGTAAGGCTACATTAACAACAATATGTTAACCCTTGAGGGCTCAGCTGATTGCTAGTTCATCATTTAGCAGTAAGGCATTCCCTGGGAAATATCCCACCCTCTGACTTCACCACCTCAACCAAGCTTCACCATCATCATGTACAGTATTAAATTGTTTGTTTAAAACTTAGTGTGTGTGTGTGTATATATATATAGTCTTTTGTCTGGTGGAAAAAAATTTCCCTGGAACCTAACCCCTCCTATTTACATTAATTCTTATGGGGAAATTGGATTCGCATAACATCATTTCGCTTAAAGTTGCATTTTTCAGGAACATAACTACAGTGTTAAGTGAGGAGTTACTCTAATGTATTAGAGAACTTCATATAGAACTGCCCTCTTTCAAAATGGCTACCAGCTCTCATTGTTCTCAATGGGGCCATGGCCACAGAATGCTGGACTCAGCTTGCTGGAAACCATGGGAGATGGTGATCATTTCTTTTTTAAAAGAGAATTTTTGAAAGAAGGCACCTGAACGAAGGACAGCTATTGCCTTTGAGAGGTCTCAAAAAACCCTGAAGTTATTTGCAATTGTATATGTGTACTAAAACAGTGCTTAGTAAACACAGTATTTTCCTCATAGGCAAATCAATACTGTGTACTAAAGAAGTCCCAGCACAGGATTTAAGAACACTCTGTGAAAGACTGAGAGGAACAAATAGCAGCTGTGCTAAATCAACAAGCGATGTGCACACCAACTCTTTATATGAACCTGCTTTGGCAATTGACACAGACAAAAAGGTAGAGTTTGCTCCCCAACCACCTGGGGAAAAAATCCAGCATCTGAAGAACTGTCATGAAGGTAACAATGGCTTGGAAATAAAGATAACAGAAAAGGCAACTGATTTGAAAGGATGGGACAGAGTTCCTGATGAGGCTTATGATCTACTTGATAAGCTACTGGATCTAAACCCAGCTACAAGAATAACTGCAAAAGAGGCTTTGCTGCATCATTTTTTTAAAGATATCAGACAGTGAGAAGACGCCTGATTCCATTATTTCCTTGATCTTTGCTTCACATGAAAATATCATACAGTATTAGTTGAATTTCAGATGCTCACTTTGAGTGTATTTATCTTCATGGCATGTAGTGATCTGCTTTTCTTGTACTCTGTGGAAGAGGTTTCTGAAAAATTGCCAGAAATATGTTTCTGGTGGAGGAAGGTTGGCATCATGGATTGGAAGTAGAATACGGAGCATTTCACCTTTTTAAATCACAATTTCAAGTCCATTTCTTGTTACTAGTGATGGAAACATCTTCTGATGGCTGTTCAGTGGCCTATGTGAAGTGAATTTATGGTTGTAGTCCAACTGTAGAAGACAAGTGTTCACATTACCAAAACCCTTCCTTGCTGACACTGATACCAAATACTGAATAAGCAAGACAAGTGACATACTTTCACACACCCCCCCTCCCCAGGTTATTGCTGAAGCTCATTGCTGAGGTGTGGGGAAAGGCAGCTGTCTGTGCTGTACCTGTTCTATGAGGAAAAGAAGGACTTAGTCTAAGGCTGTCAATAATAAGTTTCACAAGCACTAAGTTGACTTATTTGTTTTTAAATCTTCTAGTAAAATTTAAAATCTTTCCTATAAAATAGAATACACAAATGTATGTTAAGTGTGGTTATAATATGAGGAAATGTGTGACTTTTGGTTAACATACAACGTTTAGTATTCTGTCCACATGCATACATCCCTTTCTTTTCTCCTTGTGATCCATTTACTTTCCAGCTTGGTGTACTTTTTGTATTGGACAGCCTAGCTACATTGCCACTGGCCATAAATAGTCTATCCAAGTCATCCCTGGAGAATACCTTTTTATTTTTTTATTTTTAAATTAACTGCTAATCTAGGGGTCAGGTATTGTTTTGACTGTGTAACCTCCGTAAGGGCAAGTGTTCCAAGAAGTATACCTTCCCCACCCCACTTGGGCAGTGGGGATTAGCACAATTGCTCTTATTGTGCACAACCTGTACTTTCTCAACTAACGTAACATGGGTAACTGTCAATGCACACCTCACTGAGTAGCTCATGTGGCATGTATGCATATCAGTATGACTGTTTTGGAAACTTGTATTTTCACAAACTGTCCATTAAATAAAAGTTTTGTTTTTATAACTTGGGAAGATTGTTTAGTGGTAATAGTTTAAAACTGCCAAACGATTGGTAAGGAAGGGACATCCTGAGGGATGTCTCTGTGCAGAAAATTATATATTAAAATGCAGATTTTTTGTTTTCCTGCATAAATCCCTCAGTGATCGAAAACAGTTCAACGGGCTTCACCATATAGGGCTGCTAGATTCAGAGGTTTGTTAGTGTTTAATCTTGAGCAAGTTTTTTAACTGAGTTAAAAGGAGCTATTAAGTTGCCTGTAAAGTGCTCCAGCCTGAAATTTGCCCTAAACCATCTCCGCCTAAAAGCAAGTCTTTAATTATTTCAAATTTGCTAAACCACAATTTTACTTATTTCTTTGTAAATGTTACCTTGTTTTAAAGTTGGATTAATTTTAGATATATTAAAATTCGGTGTTTAATTTGATGTGACATAGGCTGTAGATTTTATAAATCTTTTCTCAATGTTACTCTGTATTCATGAACAGTAGTTGAAAAGATTTTTTGCAGTTAAAAATGAATCAAGGTGGAGGCAAAAATGAATCCAATAACGCTGCATTTGTGGAATGATTAAACACGAAAGCCAAGTTCAGAGGAGTGAATCACCAAAGCCATTTATTAGATGTGCACTTGCATAACTAAACTATCAAACTCACAAGGAGGTAAATGGGGAAATATTTATGGTATGCGTCTCTTACTTTCCATTGATCATTGGGGATCTAGGCTTTGGTAAGGTGATCAAAGGCTGGGCTGAAAGTGGACAGTTTTGTGAGAGAAGACTGAAGAACGAGTTATGCGCAATTCCGGTATACTAGCAGATTGAGCTGTTAACATCAAGTGTTGTCAACAATGGGTCTGTCATCTGGTACTGAGAAGGGTTTAGCCTGTTACCGGGGTGGGGGGGGAGAGAACAAAATTTTCCAGAACTTTAAGAAATAAGTCTCAAGCATGCTTTGTGGAATTGTATTGAAAAGTTTTGTCCCATTTATGGTAAAAGAAACTTAATAGGGTAGGGGTGACCCCACTGTTGACAACCATTATTAAATGGGTTTTCCAGCTCCCACTGCCTCAAAAGCAGATTAAGGACCTGATTTCTTATTGATCCAAGCCATGTTTATAGCCTTGCTCTAGTAGTAGTAGCAGTATTGTTGTAACCTTTTGGGGCCCCAGTCATGGAGTAGGGCTGCATTGCTATTCACTGTACAAATACCTAACAAAAAGATGACCCCTGCCACCAATGAAAAAAATCATAGTGAGGAAATATTCTCTGGCCCCCTCTCTGCACACATCCAGGCCTATGGAAAGGTTTTGTGCAAAAGAGGAAAAGGTTTGTTATACAGTATACATCTAAATACCTCCACCTGACACGTGTCTACAGCTTATCTTCTCTGTGGCTACAACGTTATGTAAGTTGAGCGAGAACTATTTCCCAAAGTGATGCAACTTTAGCACTCTGCATTGCATTTTGGCTATGCCACAGTTGTGGATATACGGGGTTTTTCTCATGAACACATACCGTTTCTGTTATAAATTAAGGGTCTGACTCTGCAAAAACGTAGTCAGAACTATGCCTGGTTATATCATGAGTTGGCCCACTGAAGTTACAGTAATACCAGGCATAGTACTTACTAAGTGCTGGCAGGATTGGGGCCTAAGCAACAACTGTCCCCTGAATTCTGAAGAAATGTGGGGTTTGTATTTAAAATGGTTAGAATGAAACCATAAAGTTTATAGATGTCACAGAACTCGCAATATTTTCATTATGCAAAGTGAAGTTGGTCTATTTTCAGCAGTTTGGGAAAAAAAACTATATGCTTTCTACTGAAAGTTTAGTACAATGTCTTTCCCTATAAATTTCTTGTAACTCCATTAGTATTTCTACTATAAAAGGTTATGAGTCATACTCTTTGAAAAGGTTACTGCTCTAGCATTTTTATGAAACTTTCCCATATAAGGTGGTGATTATGATAGTGTAAATGCCCTAACCAGGGCTGTGGATGAAAAGCAATTATTTCACTATAATCAAACTTATAAAGATCTTGAATTGAATAAGAATTACTAAATGGTGGTAATCTCATACTGTTTCTGGCATCAGCTGTTAGAGAAAAATGTTTGCAGATGTCAAATATTGATTGCAGAAAATGTTGAAACCCACAAAACCCTGGAGTCCAGGTTTTAGTAATTTCTGCTGTTTATGTAATTTCAACTCAGCACAGCACATCACTGAGAAGTTATTTATCTAAAGGAACTGTGGCCAAATTTGGCAGGCAGTGCTGTCTGCCAGTGTCTGCAGATGTATTGTTTCCTCCTACGTTCACTCGTACTGTCTGTGGTCTTTCTAGAATACAAGCTGACACCAAGCAAAAATATGTCAACTATCAATGGCAAAGTCTCTAAACAGCTTTAAAAAAAAAAAGAAAAACGAAAGTTACTCTCTGGTTTTTATTAGCCATAGAATGGAGCACCTTGCTGTACGAGGTGGTGGAAATACTATCCATCATATAGGCTGAATAACCAAAAGGGGGAGTAATTATTAATGGTGTTATGTCAAATTGTTAGCACGGTCTCCTGTGGAACTTTTCTTAAAATCTAAGTCCATTGTTCAATATATTCACTAACAAACTAGACAAGAGTTGCAAGTTGTTACTCTAGGTTAGCCAGTGATTTGAAACTTGGAGAATAAAGTGAAAATAAAATATATGTATAAAAGATTTACAGCACTTTTAAGTTCTAGCTAAGACCTATCAAAGCACCTTATAAAAGAAGGGTAAAGGAAAGAAAAGAATCGACAAAACTGAATTCAGTAAGGATAAATTCAAGGACATTCATGTAGTGAAGAAAGAAAAATAAGGCTTAGGTAGAGGATAGGGAGATTTGGAGCAATAATTTGCCACCAGTATTTTAATGATTGCCATGGATCTTTCGCCCCTACCCCCAGGCGTAGTCTCTGATTTCCACCCCCCCTCCTTTGTACCACAGATGAACCCCTAGGATTCCTCTTCAGCACGTCACTGATTTGGGTGATAGATAACTAAACCAGAGTCTGCAAGGCAATACTGCTGCAATAAAAGCCATTCTATACTGAGCTCTCTCAATAGACGTATTAAAAGAGCAAGAGTGTAATTGCTGCTGCAGCATATGTTGCAAGGCCACAGCTGGAATACTGACTTTTAGACAACATACTATGAATAGAATTATTAATAAATTGCACAGAAACCAAAGGAGGTCAGCAAAAATGATTGACTTGAAGCATGACATGCCAAGAGACTAAAAAATGAATATATAGAATCCTGAGAAAAGAAGGTTGAGGGCAGATATAACAATCTGAAAATACTCATCTGGATGTAATGGGAAAGGAGTGGATTATTCTCAGTACTGTACAAGCATAGAGCAGGAATTAATCTATACTAGACTTCTGCCTCCTCCCCATCACAACTCATGCTGTTTTTTTCCCTCCTTATTGTAATGGCAGTTAATAGGCCAGAACTCATAGACTTAAAGGGCAGAAGGGACCATTATGGTCATCTAGTCTGACCTCCCGCATGATGCAGGCCACAAAAGCTGACCCACCCGCTTTCCCTTAACTTAGCTGTTGAAGTCTCCAGATCGTGATTTAAAGACTTCAAGTCGCAGAGAATCCTCCAGCTTGCGACCCCTGCCCAATGCTGCGGAGGAAGGCGAAAAACCTCCAGGGCCTCTGCCAATCTACCCTGGAGGAAAATTCCTTCCTGACCCCAAATATGGCGATCAGTAGAACCCCGAGCATACAGGCAAGATTCTCTAGCCAGACCCACAATTTACCAGCGATGGCACTTTATTACCTAATTGACTAATATCACGTTATCCCATTAAACCATTCCCTCCATAAACTTATCTAGCCTAATCTTGAAGCCAGAGAGGTCTTTCGCCCCCACCGTTTCCCTCGGAAGGCTGTTCCAAAATTTCACCCCTCTGACGGTTAGAAACCTTCGTCTAATTTCAAGCCTAAACTTCCCCACGGCCAGAACTACCAAAAGAAGTTGCAGAATTGCCATCTCTAAAGAGATTCAAAGCGATATTAGAAAAGTAACTATACAGAATTCTGTATGTAACACGCACCTCAGCAGAGGCAGCTCGATCTGTGATGTATGGGGCCCTACCAAATTCACGGCCATGAAAAACACATCACGGACTGTGGAATAGTATAGGGTAAAAGCACGCAAAAGACCAGATTTCACAGGGAAGACCAGCATTTCTCAAATTGAGGGTCCTGACCCAAAAGGGAGTTGTGGGGGGTTCCCCAAGGTTATTTTACAGGGGTCGTGGTATTGCCACCCTTCTGCGCTGCCTTCAGA